ACTGGCCTAGGGTAATTTTTAAGAGGGGTTTTTAGAGGAGTTTTTAATTATATTTTAAATTAGACAAGTTAAATATTTCATTTTAATTAATTTTAAATTTTGTGTTGTTATTGGTGTTTTTAATTGATTGTCAGCCGCCCTGAGTCCGCAAGGAGAAGGGCGGGATATAAATTCGAACAATAAATAAATAAATAAATAACAAGCAAAATCAATGAGGAAAGCTGGTTTCACTTAACAATTGCCTGATTCACTTAACAACTTCAGCAAAAATGTCATAAGATCGGGTGCAACTTACTTATCAGCCACCTTGCTTAATTAGCAATGGAAACCAGTGTGGTCGTAAGTCAAGGACTATCTATATATAGAAGATAATTACTTCTTGTTTAGTGGTGATATGATTCCACATCTGGAAACACCTTAACCAATATGGTTGCCAACTTGCCTATCATCCTTCTGTTGCTATACTTTTAAATGGTGTGTTGATTGACAAGTGACAGCAAGTCACTAAATAAGCTCTACTGCTAAGGAGAAATTTCATCTTCTTTTGTAGCCCTTTAAACATAGACTTGAGAAGTGTGCTTCAAGGTTGGCTGGCATGAAGTTTTTCAAAGTTATATCACAAATTAAGTAAAATAGATAGCAATTTTAACAAAAAGGCATTGCAGAATTTTATAGACCTTAGAATAACTGCCAGCTCTCTGCACAATACTCATTCCTTCATTCACTGTTAATTTTGTCTCACACTTTTGTTTCCAAGAGGCAATTTATGTTTACAGCCCACTTACTATCCAGTTGTTAACAAAGCTTGAGTCCTATTCTGAAAGAGTTACAGCTCTGGGATTTCCCTGAACTCTTCATCAGGCATCATAATGAAAAAGCCAGGGAAAGAAAGTGAAAAAAGAGTGTCACAGACATTCAGGCCCTGACAGTTGTGGGTCATGTTTTCATCTGGAGTGAAGTATTGCTCAACACACAAATTGAAGAGTGTCAAGTACGGGCACGGTTGCACAGGGACTCTACAAAGCTTGCTGGAAAAAAGAGACAAATAGATGTCTCTTTTCCTGGCCTAAATATTCATTCCCACATTCAGTCAAGCTGAGATAAAGGCAGATCTTTTTTCTTTGATCAGCCACAACCGAAGAATAACTTTAACTAACTGGATACCTGCCAAATATGGTGGACTTCAAATCCCAGAATGCCTAGTGATTGTTGGTAAAAGCCTTAGCCTTCGAGACAACTTAGGAACAATTGCTGTAGACCAGGGGTGTCAAATTCGCAAGTCACGTGACGTGTCGCGACGTTTTGTGACTTTTTTTCCATTGCTGGCAATGGGGTGGGTGCAGTTTTGCTATGATGCATCCGGCCCACGGGCCAGCAGTTTGACACCCCTGCTGTAGACTATGGGCATATAACAGAGTTTTATGTGGGTTCTGGTGAAAAATATCTTGCTTACTTACAGTTTCCCTCTTTATGGTATTTTCTTGCAAATTTCATTACATCTTTGGATGGAAGAAGGTAATCTTTTGTTTTATCTTGGACTATCTTCCAAGACTGAGTTAAAATAACTTGGCTTTTAAGTTATTTCCTAGAATTAAACAGGACTTCCCGCACTGTTAGTCAACTGTCTAGATTTTTTAAAGTAGTGGGCAGTCATCCAGTTATGAAAATATCAGGAAAATGACACTATAGAAATTGCTTGCCAAGATGAAATAGTAAATAGTAACTTTAGTTGGCAAATCTTCACTTTCAAATTGTTCATGTGTAGCACATCAGATGAAGCGTGTCTGTTACTTTAATTTCTGACTTAGGGATTTAAAATTATCATCTTATATTTAGCGATTTAGGGATTTAAGAGTATCATCCTTGATTTACAACCAGTTGCTTAGCAACTGTTTGACGTTACAATACCTGCCCTGAAATCTACTTACAATCTGTTTTCAAAGTTATGATGCCCCACCCACCCACCCACACGCATACACACCATAGTCATGTGATCACATTTTTGGCGCTTGGCAACTGGATCACTCTTGTGGAGGTTTGCAGCGTCCTGCGGTCACATGATTGCAAGTTGTGACTTTTTTTTTCTTCCAGTTTACTTCCAGTTTCTGTCAAAAAAAAAAAATTCTCATTGGAGAAAATTATTTTGCTTAACAACAGCAAAGTTTTTTTAATGACTGCGGCGTTCGCTTAATGAACGCTGCAAAAAGTTGGCTGCCTCAACATAAGACTACAATGCCTTATGGCCATAATTCTGGGCTCAATTACTGTATTGTAAGATAAGGACTGGCTATATTTGGAGTTTCTCTGGGGCAGCTGGCTATTGAGAGTTATGAAGGAGCATCCCCAAAGATTGCGTTACTTTTGGCAATTAGGTGTCCCATGGACAATGGTGTTGTCACCAGCAAATCCTTTCAACCCAAGTTAGTTTTGTCAGTGCTTCTGACATGAATATACACAGCTGGCTATTCATTATAGAACAACAAAATAATAGACCTGTTAATATGGGAGAGAGACTGGCCACGTTTGAGGGAGGAGTTAAACAGGGAATTAGTTTGGAATCCCTATGTGAGCACAAGAGAGTGAAATCTGATCCCTCCTTGAATGCTATTGAATCTTATCTAGTCACACACAGGTACATATTGTCAGTCTGAGAAGATTTCTGTGCATAGGCTTGAGCAATAAAACAGGTAATTGAACTCTTCACATGTGGATCTGATTGTTTGCACCTGACAGAGCTTATCTTCCAACTGTCCTGGTATGGCTTTTCTTACAATCCCTTTGATGAATTTTTGTAGCTAGTAAAAGCTCAGAGACATATCTTTAAAATTATTCTTTTCACATTTCACTTACAAATTACGAGAAAAAAATAACAAAAACACCTAACTAGATTTCAAAAAGCTATACATGATTAATAAAACAATTGTTAAACTTAAAGAAGTAAATTCATAGGAAATGAAGGGGGGGGATGACCTTATATATTATACTTAACAACTGGTTTAATAACAAATATATCACTATAAAATGATCAATACAAAACATTACTGTAAATATCACAAAATCTCTGCCACAGTAACTTCATTTGAATTAATAAATAAATTATAAAACAGCAGCTCAAGGAAGAACAAGAAAGCAAATCTGGATAAATTTTAATGTGACATTGTTTTAAGTGCTCACTGACAACTGGTAGTTTTGAAAAGAAAGATCTAATTTCCACCCTGTTTCTGATAGTTAACATTTTAAAGTACTTAGTAATCAGGTAAGACTTTAAACTGTTTAAGATGCAGCCAGCCATTCTTTCCTCATTTTTTTTTCTCCAGGAGTTTGTGAGATGAACAGAGGACAGGATATTATCAAATTAAACCACTTTGTAGAAATGGAAACTAAAAGCAGTAGCAATGTGGAAATTCCTTAAATGCGCAAAAAAAGAAAAAGAAAAAAGAATTCCTTTGAAGATGAAATAAATGTCTTATATTTTATTTTCAGAGGAGCTTGGCTCCAATTGCAGGTCTGCAGTCTTCTTCCAATATATTCATTTATAGTGGCATCCATCTACACGCAGGGGTCTTCAAACCTGGCCCTTTTATGACTTGTGGACTTCAACTCCCAGAATTCCTCAGCCAGGCACGCTGGCTGAGGAATTCTGGGAGTTGAAGTCCACAAGTCATAAAAGGGCCAAGTTTGAAGATCCCTGATCTACAGTCTTTTGGGTGGGTGGGGATTAGCTCAAGCCAGAGCAGAGTCTGGCCAAACTAGTTATCACCCATGACTCAGCAGCAGTGTCTTCTACAGTAGATGCTTGGGACTTTAGATGCCATGATCTTTTGCCGCTTGCCCCCCAAGGTATTAGGTGTACGATTCTACAAATGACATCACCGTATCTTCTCCAAAAGACTGACTAAACAGAAACCCAACCTTAGACACTGGACTTGATGAAGATTATTTGAAAAACTCCACAGCTTTTCCTTTTTGGAAGCTTCAGGCATTGCTACACACATAGTATTACCTCTCATAGGATCTTTTGTTTGTATTGCTAACACTGATCTATACATGCTCACTGGAAAAGCCCTGTAAAGCTGACCACTACTGTTTATGCCCAGTCGGCAAATGATACTTTAGCTACAGTTGAGAGAGGATCTCAGTGGATTCATGCAGGTCTGAAGTACCGCTTGAACTGTAGATCCGTGTTTCAGACACTTTTCAGTGCTTAGATCCCATAAACCAGGGGTAGGCAACCTTGGCTCTTTTATGACTCTTGGACTTCAACTCCCAGAATTCCTGAGCCAGCCATGGTTGGCTCAGGAATTCTGGGAGTTGAAGTCCACGAGTCATAAAAGAGACGAGGTTGCTTATTCCTGCCATGAACTGATTCTTCCCCATCAATTCCTTTGGCAGAAAGAGGAAGGGGGATCCTAATATCTCAGTTTTATGCGATTAAAGAGCGGATCCTTTCCTTTTTCTTTCTTTCCTGCTTCACGTTCTCCTTCGAACACACACCCCAATGCGCACCAGAGATAGGAGAGTCTCCTGTAATAGTTCCTTAGTCGCAGGGGTTCTCAACCTTAGCAACTTTAAGACTTGTGGACTTCAACTCCCAGAATTCCTCAGCCAGCAAAGCTGGCTGAGGAATTCTGGGAGTTGAAGTCCACAAGTCTTAAAGTTGCCAAGGTTGAGAACCCCTGCAAGTGGGACACTGGCTGTCCAAAATCCCTGCAGGAAACTGGGGCGGGGAGGGGGGCGGGGGGGGAAGAAGAGAGGTAATTCCAACGTGGGTTAGGCTTCCTGGGGTGGGAGAGCCGCTTTCGTTTTTTCTTCCTCGGTTTTCGGGATTTTCCATCCTGGAATTTCCAAGGGCCGCTCTTTCTCCCAGAGCCCCACTCCCCCTCTCCGCCAACCTCCAGCCCTCCCCCGTCCTTACTCTTTATAAAAAGAAAGAGATGGAGGTGAGGCACACACCGATTCCTCCTTCACGGTGCAGCGGGTCCTTCTTGGAGTTCCCGGGCAAGGCAATTTCGGGAGTGTCCTGTTTGAACCGGCTGGAAGTTTTGTGTCCACCAGACCCAAGTCGTCGCGCCCAATGGCACCAGTGACTCCAGCGCTGCTTTCGCTCCTCCTGACGTTCACCACGGGTGAGTTTGGAGCTGTTGCTGGCGGTCTGGGGATTAAAAACGTGTCTTGTTTTGCATTGTGTAGCCTTTGAAATAAAAACGAACAGCTCAGAGAATGTATTTGTTCCGAGATAAGACTTTTTTTTTTTTTAAAGGAGAGTTACAGAGGGTGGGCGATTTTATAAATGTCCTTATAAATCTTTCAAATCTGCACATGTAAAGATATATTTTTTTTAATGAGGATGCCATTTTAGCAGACTTATTGCAAGCAAATCCCATTGAGGGCTACTGGATTTACTTGCAAGTAAACATCCTTGTGCTGTTAGCAGGCACCCATCCACATGGATTCAGAGAATAATAATAATAATAATAATAATAATAATAATAATAATAATAATAATAATAATAATAATAATAATAATAATAATAATAATAATAAAGTTGGAAGGGATCTTGGAGGTCATCTAGTCCAACCCCCTGCTCAGGCAGGAAACCCTATACCATTTCGGACAAATGGCTGTCCAGTCTCTTCTTAAAAACTTCCAGTGTTATATAACACTGCAGTCTTATGAATGTTAACTTCAGTACAGCAACCAGTGAATTCGGAAGACTTCTTGCTAAGAGTGGCATTGGTGGGATTGTAATTTGAAAGCCTTCATTTGTAGGCGATGCAGTCTTTTAATACATTAAGTGGAAGCTTAATTGTATGTTATTATATATTCATTCTATCCAATGATATCTTTAAGCAAGTGCCTTTTAAACTAAACTCTTACTCTTTAGGACTCTAATTTGAGAAATATTTAGAGTGTTAGTTCAGAGGTAGGTAGTTCAAACTAATTGGGCTGAGACCTTGAACTTTAGGCTGTAAGGCAGGCCTATTTCCATATATAATATGCATGTATTGGGATTTTAGAACAGAAACTTGTGTATATTTATCGTGGTTTTTATTATCGCCTGAGTCCCGTAAGGGAGATAGGGCGGTATATAAATTCAATAAATAATAATAATAATAATAATAATTCCATCTTCATCTACTTAATTTAACACCAGTCATATCTGAAACTCATCAGAATCAATGGCAGGATAGCCTAATTGTGTGAACCTATTCGAAATGGTTCCACTGAATTCAATAGGTCTTCCAGATCGGTGGTTATAAGAGTGCAGTCTTAGACATGTTATTAATTTTTCAGCCTGGGCCCAGAATGTGAGATTAATATCACCATGACTACACATCCGGATAACAATCCCTAGTCGCTTTTTTCTGTATGCTGCATCAGAATCTGGATTACTTTAGTAATTCCACATTCAAATCTATGATACTTGTTGCTTTAATGCTGGTTTGTAAGTGTAAATTCAAACACTCACTTTAAAACATGACTCTAATCATAACAGTGTTATGGAAATAGAAATCTTATCTCTATTGTAAAATATTGTTGATAGAAGTATAAATGTTACAGTGGAACAAAAAGTTATCTTTTTCCTTCATTCCATTTAGGTGCTGCTCACCTCCAAACCAACTCTGGGGGCTGAGTTTATATTAAGCAATTATTCTACCTATATTTTTGTTTGTATGGATCTTCACCATTCCCATGTCAATCGATGTTTTTCCCTTGACACCTGCTTATATACATTTCCGCTTTTAACTCTTTGGTCTCTAGAAGCAAGTTACTGAAAATTGAGTTTGGTCCATTTGGATAACTGCTTGGTAATAAACAGCAGGAAGATAAATATTAATCTGTTACATATACATATACAGTATGCATCCATATATCCTGAATGTTCTTCCTTCTCTCTTGTTTCAGTTAAAGCATTTGGAATAGAGGACATTGTGCCAGGTCATAAGGTTGTTGCACAAATTGGACACAAGATTGCCCTAAGTTGTCACACAACTGGTTGTGAATCCCCACACTTCTCCTGGAGAACCCAGTTAGACTATCCATTAGGTGGGAAATCACACAGTCAAGGAAACAGTTCAGTTTTAACTATACAGTCTGTTGGATTTCAACATGAGCACCAATATGTCTGCACTGCTGGTTGCAAGCCGGGTGAACCATCCAAAGAAAAAGCAGTCATGGTTGACATTTACTGTAAGTAACTAAACTGTAGTAAGATATAGTGTATCTAATTCTCATAGCATACCTGAAGTTTCCACCTGTACGGAATTTAAGTAGCTAATTGATCTAAAAGTAGGAATGGTTGTCACAGATATTTTGATGTTTTGTCCCTGCTGCCATGTGCTTGGCTCAGCCGGGGGGGGGGAGGCTACTGATGAGGGGGCCGTGGGGGGAGGTGAGGCTGGGGCGATGGCGCGTGTGCCCACAGAGAGAGCTCCGAGTGCCGCCTCTGGCACGCATGCCATAGGTTCGCCACCACTGGGCTAGTCTCTCTCTCTCTCTCTCTCTCTCTCTCTCTCTCAGCCCAACTCACCTCACAGGGTTGTTGTTGTGGAGAAAATAGGAGGAGGAACGTGTGTTGAATATGTTGGCTACCTTGAGTTATTTGTAAAAATAATAAAGGTGGGATACAAATAAATATTAAAATAATTAACAGAACTGAAGTGCACTGTCAGTCTGAATCCATAAAGACGTGATACAACCAAGGCTAGCCATAAGCATAATTTCAACCATTCAATAATGCTGGTGCATCCAACACAAAAAAACTAGGTTTTCAAGAACTTATGAAAGACAAGGAAAGTCAAGGCAGTGGCCATCCATATCTTGGTATGTGTGTGTATGCATGTGTGTGTGCCCGCACCATTCCAGAGGGCATGTGCTAAGACAGATCTCCTGTATTCCATCAGATGACACTGCTGAATAGAAGGAACCTTCAGCAACAATTGGAGAGTTTGGGAGTATTTGTGCCCATTGTGTTTGGGTCTGCTGTAATTGAAATTCTGAAGCTGTCTTTTAGGTCATTACATCCTAATAATCCTGGAGTCCAGGTCCATAGACAATAAAAAAAATGTTGTGGAGGCTACACACAAAAAAGGAAGATAGGTTAATTAGAGTCTGTATGACAAAGTCTTGGGTGCATGCCTTTCTATAAACATCTATCAAATCTGAATGCTCTTAAACTGGAAAACAGTACAGTGCATTTACTCTTAACTTAAGTCAACCTTGAGCCGGTCAGAATCGAACTGCTGGCAGTCAGCAGAATTAGCCTGAAATGCTACATTCTAACAGATTAGAAGATATAGAAAGTAAAACAGCTCATTTTGCTTTTGCATTAAATTAAAATTGTTTACTGAAATGAGGTAGTAGCATAATGGAACTGGACGCAGGGTCCTTCTTTTCTCCTCCCTGGCTATGGGTCTTCTGGGGGTGTTCATGTGTTGAGATGCTGTGTTGAATGCTGGTTCATTCAGAGTTTACATATCAAGTAACAAGACCTGCATGTAAAATCTTCTGCCATGATATTTGTTCAGATGCCATCAGCTGGAAAGCAGTTTGCATCCAAAACATGAGGACTGAGTAGTTGTAAACAGAGAATTGACAGACAAATTCCAGCTTGATTTTAGCTTCCTCTGATATGGTTTCTTCGTTTCTTTTTTTAGCATTCCCCAGCGATCCGGTTATTGAGCTCACAAGGCCTCTCATTCTTGGGGAACCAGCTTCCGTCACCTGCAGTGTTCCCAAGGTCTATCCTTCTGAGCAGTTGAAGATCACTTTGCTAAAAGGAAAAATACCTGATGAAAAAGAGTTTTTTCAAGACCCTCACACAAAATCATTACAGACCAAGAACCATAAAATTAATTTTATTCCTATGGAGGAAGATTTTGGGAAAGAGATCATATGCAAAGCTGAGTTGCAGTTAGAGGAAATGGCTTTGAAACCCAGACTGTCTACACATGTGATGGAAATAAATTGTAAGTATGTTGATGGAATAAAGATTCCAGCACAGGTTATATTCATGTTAAGGTTGCCTCCACTTGCAATAGGCTGAACTGGATTTAGGACAGTGGTTCTCAACCTGTGGGTCGGGACCCCATTTGGGGTCGATCGACCATTTCACGGGGGTCGCCAAGCAAGGCTGTCCGCCATTTTTTTTGTCCATTTGTTCCCCCTTTTCCGGCGGGTGCCTTACCTCCCTTGGGCTGGGCCAGCTGGTGGTCGGCCTGCTCCGTCTCTGCCGCTTGCCAGCTACGCCTCGGCCGGCGCAGGGGGCGGAACCACGCATGCGCGGCGCTCCCGGGCAGGGAAAGTCCTCGACTTACGACCGGTTGGGTAGTCCTCGACTTACGACCGGTTTAGTCCTC